CATGTGTAGACGTTATCGCGCGCGAACAGCGTCAGAGTTTAACCTGTTATTCCGAATAGTTTGTTTGGCTGTCAACAGAGTCCTTTTTGAGAGTGCCTTAAAGGGCTCGTTAAATCACCACGGACATTTTCGCCTTTTACCTGCAAATTTTGCGGAACTCCTGTCAGCCGAGTTTCCTCAAATATTGAAATTGGCTGCGGTTCCCGATGCGCGTCGCATTCTTCCAAGCATCGAGAGGGCCCGACCTACCCCCTGTAACCACCGTCGAAAAGACGAGGCGAGGATGAAACGAGGGAGAAACGACCTCGTTCGTTCGTTCGTTCGTTCCGTCGCGCACCTGTAAAGTGACTTCATTTACCTTCTGGAATAGAAATAGAATGCTCTCGAAACGCCAGAACGTCGTTTAAGGGCTGCGACACGGGTGCTTGTCAAAGAAAAATACACCCGAGTCTCGAAGGAACACGTGTCTCACGTGAACACGTTCGTTAAACTGTAACCGATAGGAAGGAGCTTTCCTTTTTTCAGGTGGATTCTTGTTTGAGGTATTGAATTTCGTTTGTTTGATAGCGGTATAAAAGAATACAGTTTGCCACTATTTTCTTGTTTAGCTTGCATTATTGGAGTATTTGCGAAATTGGCTTTTATAAAATTGATCAACCACTTGAATTGCATTTATTGTGACATTTACATTTTGTTATTACTATTATTATTTTACAGTTGCTTACTAAAATATTCGAATGGTTACAGAAAGTTTTTCTGAATATATCGTATGTGTGAAACATTTTAACAATTTGAAATAAATATGAAAATATACATAGGAATTTAATACAAATATATATTTCATTGAAATTATAAAAGTATTTAAACAGACATAATGTATTGTATCGATAAGTCTCAATATTATGGAATCGTCATCAAAATATTTTGTGAAACATATATAATATCATATTCGGTGTTCGAATATTTTCATGAACTACTATTGACATTTGAAGGAATCAAAATTGAATATTTTTAATCTCTCGTATTGATAATATTATTTATTTGTCAATTTATTATTTAAAGCTACTAATCCATAATAACTAAACAGACATAGAAATCTAGATATTCTGTACTGCGATTATGCATCAATTATTATACTGTAATTAAAATTTACGATTTTTGTCCAATTTTGTAGCTAATTATAGAAATGAAATCTAGATAGAAGTTCATGTCATTAAATACTTTGTCTACGCACGATATTTTTGCAGTATTTTATCTACTCGTGCTTATACTTGCCAAATTTTTTACAACCAATTGTAAGATGAGAATTAATACCTGCGAAATCTTTTGCATCGCGAAAATTTGCATTTCACCGAATCTATCAGTCGGGCGAAAAAAAAAAAAAACTCAAGCTACATCCCAGAAGCTTTGCGAAGCCGTTGAAAAAAAAAAATTCAGCGCCAGGAACCTGCGGAAAGCACGGCGTAATCGCGTCGCGCGATAAACGTTTTAAAATGGCGAGGTTTTGCCGGTGTTGTTGGTTGGAAATTCATTAAAAGCGCGCCGGTAATGGGACAACGATGACGTTGTCGTCGTGCTGCGGCGAAATGCGGGCAGAACAGTGGGAGGGTGGAAGCGGAGGTAGAGAAAAAGCTCGGCCGCGAGCCAGAAAGAGAGAGAGAAAGGCAGAGAGAGGCAGAGAGAATGAGAACCGGTGCTATCGTAATTCTGTCGCATTACCATTTAGATTAGTTAGATTTGCAGGTAAACAGCACGCGGCCGATCACACAACACAAACACACGACCAACGAACTCGCGATCGCGCTCGCGCTCGCGCGCCTTCCACCACAGTTGACATTTTAATTTCATCACGATAATTACTTTCAAACGGATGGCTTTTTAAGTAGATTGAAATATTCCTGCATCGCCGACACGTCCGCATTCGTATAATTAATGCATTTTCAGGGGGAGGGAGGGCGACCGGGCGGGGGAGGAGGCTGGAGAGGGGAGTGGCAGGTTCGTTTCCAGCGTTCCCAACCCCCTGGCTCGTTTTAACTCGATTTCACCCCGCCGCGCGTTTTATTTCGCCGGTGATGATTGTCGGATTAGGACTCGCGACGAAAAATCGACACGCGACAAATCCCTGTTTTAATTACCGACGCTACGGCAGCGAATTTTGAAGATTCTCGCGTGCGATGGTGGAATATTTCATCGTGTGAAAAATCGAAGCGTTGCGTGGCAAAGTTTTAATCACACAAGTTCATTAAGGTAGGAAATTTTTGGAGATGGATATTTCGTCGCGTTGAAAATTGTATTAAGGAAGTAAACTTCTTTAGAGTAGAGAAATGCAAGTGCGAAGAATTAGGAAAAATTTGCGACAAAATGAAGATTATAATCTTTTATTTATATGTTGTACGTTTTTCAAGAAATCATTCAAATTTGTGAAAACACGTCGTAGTGAATTTACAAAGTTTCTGTGAAAAAAACTATAAATCGCAAGATTTTTAGATTTACAAAACGCATTCATAAAATTTGTATACTTTATAATAAAACTTCTATGAAAATTTCCGAAGTTAAAAAAAAACTTGCAAATTTAGAAAAAAGTAGCTCGTTAAATAGATAGTGGAAGCATTCTTTCAGTTTTCGGATTTTGAAGATGCACGCAAAACGTAGAGATAAAAGCGAGTTCGAAATAGAAGCTGCTAACGTTGGTATTGCACTTCCACTTGACCAACCCCTAGAGTAAACCTCTTTCTTTGAATTTTTCTTCCTTCTCTTCCCGCTGTTTCGATCAAAAAAAGAATCGCGACAAGTTTCTGCACTCGGTATTATCTAGTAGGCACAATTAAAGGA